TCTCTCTATGAGTCATAGAGCCAGAAGAAAAAACAAAATTATGATTCAATTTTTGCAAAATGAAAGCGGAACGAAAATTTTGTTTCCTAAGCAAACACAATTGCAAAGACTAAAAGAAAAATGATGAAAATGCTTTTAGCAAAATAAGTAAGAATAAGTAAGTAAAATAAGTAATAAATAAGAAAGTGTTTCGTGTAGATCAATAGTTTAAACAAATTCAGATATGATCAAACTTAGTTGATAACGATAGTTTCCAGTATCAGTGCTTCATGTAGATTAGCATCCTAAGCAATTTCAAGTATGGTAAGATTTAATTAGTGATGATTGTTTTATAATAAATAAAAGTAGATCAAAGTTTTCAAATATGTTCAGGTATAATAAGTTTAATTTTCCAATATCGCATTATGGAATGAACATTATTTTTTTTAATGATTCAACAAAAAATTCAATAGCTGATGAGCAGCATGTTGAAAATAGAAATCAATGTAAGATTCAAAAATTTTTAAATTAATTTAAATTTGCACCAAATTTAAATTGGATAAATATTCATAAAGGAATAAGTACTCTTTGATTGAATTATTAATTGCATCCGTAAATTGTTTGTTATCAGTCATTCTTCTTCTTTTATCACCTAATCAAGATTTTTTAAAGAATTCAAGAGATTAATGATTAATAAATCCTTTCTGACGTGAAAATATAAACTTTCAATTTAAAATAAATTCAAAATTTAACCTTTCCGTAATAATTTTCTGCGATAAGCGTGTATTCACCGCTATCTTTGGGTACCACCGATGAGATTTTCATCAATGCAAGCGATCCTTTGAATATAGTCGTGATCCCATTTGAATTAATCAAATCAACAATTTTTCCATTCTTTAACCATGTTATCTGGAAAAAAAATATTGCTTAACATACATATCTGAAGTTTGCATTCTCAATCACAACATAAATGCTTAATGCATTTGGCAACAATTAATTAAAGATTTTCAAATACTAAAAATCATATTTTAACAAATTCAAAGAATCAAGGAATCTAAAAGGTGCTAGAAAATAAAAAAAGTTTAATACAAAAATAAAAACTCGTAATTTGCCAAAAATTATCTTTCATTTCGCAGACTTCAAAATCCACATTCTCAATCACAACAGAGTGCTTAATATACTAATATCAATAATTAATATTTATTAAAAGTTTGAAGATTCGAAATTTTATCGCATAAAAGTATTTGAGTAAAAATGAAATTTAATTGAAATTTGCTTTTCATATTTGTGAAGTAATTCTAAAATAAACATAGCTATTCTTATATTTTTCTGCAAATAAATAACAGAATGTAAGATGAAAATTGGAAAATTCAATAATAATACATGCTAATAATTGTTGAATTTTTTTAAATGATCAAATTAAACAAAACCTTAGGCTTAGGATTTCCTGTAATACTGCACTGTAAGAGAGCATCGGTGCCTTCTGTTAATCGTAATCCTTTCAGCGGGGTTTGCATTCGAGGTGGTCCACCAAAACCTCGAGAATCTATTGATGCAAGTTCCGCCTCTGTTTCACTTTCACTGAGACCCAGAGGCTAGAATGTGGAATTATAATAGACTTTACAAATTATTAACCAGGAAAATGTTGAAATTATTTGACTCAAAAATTTAAATCCTAAATAGTTTCTATAAATATATATTGATATCAGAAAAAGCTAAATGAAATGTTCACTTTGATAGTGCTAAAGCTAACCGATAAAGTTCATTATCAAGTATGAACTGTAAATCAAAACCGAATTACTGAGGAATACTTGTTCATCTATTTTCTCTCCGGAATAAACTAATGAAAAGTTTTTCCTGAGAGTTGTTTTTTTTTTTTTGAAAGAAAAAGCTCCTATTAAGCATCTTAATTCTAACAAATTAAATGCAAAAGCATAGCTCTTTTTATCTTCCGCTTCTCTGTCTGATAATTAATTGATAGTGTTAACTTACAATTTCAGTAATACTATCACAATCAAAATTGCCATTTTGAGGAAAGTGTTTCATCTGACGTTGTTGTATAACAGCTGCTGGACGTTGTACAATAGTTTGTCGTTGTTGCAATGTCCGAGAAATTGGCCGTTCTATAATATATGTATGGACAGTTTTGGTGAATTATTTTTATGAAGAACAATTAAATAATAAATTTTCAATAGCTTTTTAAATCTTTTACCTTTTCCTTTACTTTCAATTTCTTTCCCATTCATTTCTTATTCAATGAGAGATATAACTTTGATAGATAGATCAAATTTGTCATGTAACTGATAAACATAAGAAATTCACATGATAAAGAAAGATCATGGTAAGATCCAAAACTCTTTACCAGGCCTTTGTTTTTGAAATTGTGCAAGCATAGCTTGCTTCCTTTCACTTGTAATTAACGACTGTTGCTCATAAAACCATTTATCGAATTCATCTCGTGACATCAGCTTCAAAAGAATTTAAATTTACATTACAGGTGATTTTTCTTTCAGATGGAATAATTAATCGAAATATTTTCTATAATTTCATATAAAAAATGCCGCGAGATAAAAAATTCAAAAATAGCATTTTTTTCCAAAAAAATGCTATAGTGATGTTAAAAAAATGATATAAATGATTAAAATTAGTAATGCTTCTTGTCGATTTCTTCTATTGAAAATTATCTCCCATTTTGAAATAAGCATCATCCAAACACAATTATCACTTATCTAACCAATTTATTGAAATTCTGATTCAATTCCTCCTTTATTTCAATTTGCTCTATTTTTTTTTCATTGCTAAGAACGACATATATTATTAGTCTAATCCTTTTCCAATCTAATATTTATATAAAACAAAATAACAATTCTAGTAGAAAATAAAAAATTTTAACTTATTTTCTAATAGCTTCATCTTGCGCATACAATTTGAAATGTTCCAATTATTGATAAATGCATACCTGTGCGGAAGATTCAGCAATTCCATGCGCATTTGTCGCTCGACACGTATACTCACCAATATCATCAGCAAACATTTGAGGTATAATTAATGCACAAATACCTGTCCGACTGTCATATTCTGTCTTCGCGCTATAAACAAATTTCACTTTAACAAACCTTTTTTTTTTCATCTGTTTTAATATATCGCCTATATGCAATTTATTATATTCAAGAAATTTTATTTCATTTTTATTTCGAAAAAATTTTTAGTTCAAATTTTGCATTTTCATGGAACAAAAAATGATTTAAAATAATGAAATCGATCACTGCTCCACCAATCGTTTAAATAGAATTCCATATGGATTTGCAAAAAAAAAAAAGACTGAAAAAGTGCTCGGAGTATATTTAAAGCATTTGAATTTATAACATTGTTTAAATAATAAAATAGCAAAATATATTTTTTTTTTTTGCCTAATTTCACTTTTAATTTCACTCACTGATCGTCATTCAGTCTTTTTGACGAAGCAGTAAAGTGAAAAAATTCACGTTCATAAATTCTTGATTGTATGAAAGCCAAAATTTTAGATATTCCTAAATTTAAATATCATTTTCATAGTGGTAATATTAAGCAATTAAAAGATTTATTTCATTTAAAGGTATTATGAAAGCTTTCTTGTTATAATTCAAAAAAAAAAAAAAATCTGTCACTTTTATTTCCAAACTAACAGAGAACAAATATTTATCTAAAAATTG